AGCAGCAGCAGCAGCAGCAGCAGCCAGAGTCCCCTCCGGCCCCCTCCTCCCGCGAGGAGACGTGCCACTTCCTCAATGCTATCTTCCTCTTCCTCTTCAGGGAGCTCAGGGACACGGCCCTCGTCAGGAACTGGGTCACCAAGAAGATCAAGGTGGAGTTTGAGGAGCTGCTCCAGGCCAAGATGACGGGGAAGGTGCTGGAGGGGCTCAGCCTCAGGGACGTCTCTCTCGGCAACGTCCTGCCCGTCTTCAAAACCGTCAAGCTCATTCGGCCGGTGGTCTGCAACGAAGAAGGCTGCCCCGAGGAGCTGGGCTTCGAGGTGGACCTGGAGTACAACGGTGGCTTCCACTTGGCCATCGATGCCGACCTGGTCTTTGGCAAGTCGGCCTACCTCTTTGTCAAGATCTCCCGGGTGATGGGGAAGCTGAAGCTGGTTTTCACGCGTCTGCCCTTCACTCACTGGTCCTTCTCTTTTATGGATGACCCTGTGATACTCTTTGAAGTGAAGTCTCAGTTTGAAGGGAGGCCCATGCCTCAGCTCACTTCCATCATTGTGAACCAGTTCAAGAAAGTTATTAAGCGCAAGCACACCTTACCCAATTATAAAATCAGGTAAGATGTCCTGTGTCCTCAGTGTTGCTTTGGGTGGCGTGCATTAGAATTGTTCTTTTGCTCGTAGTAGGTAAAAAGACATTTCTGTTGGCCCTTTTACAGTAGGGGTACTTGTACATTGCTTGTCTGATACCAAAAGCTTTCCATGAAAGTAAGCATTGTTTTCGATTTATAATAGATGAAGAAGCCATTGCACGGTGAGATTGTGACATGCCCCAAACTATGTGTAACTAAATGGCAGAATTAGTAGGTATCAAAAATGTTGGGATCCTGTCAGGTGTCCAATGGCAGGGCTGTGATATCCCTCTTTGGAAAAGGTAGAAGGATGGCTCTGTGGACAGTGTGTGGGTTTGGGGTTGTCCTTCTCCCAAGCTTCTGCCACTGATGAGCCACCTGGGCAAGACTTGTGGCTTATGCTTACCTATAGAGGCAAGGTGCTTGTGACTTAATGTGAGAGAGGATAAAGTTCACTCTCTAGGGAATATCTCTAGGTACTCTTCCTTTCTGGTTTTCTGAATTTCTTCAATGACTTTGGGGAAATCTAGAAGTTGGTAAAAGAAGTATTGCCACTATTGTGGTAAGTAAAACTTTGGGGGACCTCTTGGGTTTTTTTGTCTTTTTTTTTTGGTAAGATAGTATGTTTTCTTTTACAAGTGCACACACTGCAGTGCAGACTGCATTATATAGTGAATATAATGAAACGTTCAGTGATATTTCTGTAGCGGAAGTGGCATCTTTGCTTTGATTCCATCCTTGTTTCTGATTAAAAGATATTGCATGTCTTATCGTTGTTCAGGTACCATATTCCCTTTCTGTCATGCATCTTACCACTCTTAGGATACCATATTTCCTCTCTCTTTTGTTTATTCTTTGTAGCTTGTATTGTGTGTTAAGTAAGGATTTTTGTTTTACTTTGTTTACCACATTCTTCTCCAGTAAGCCTTTTCTCTGAAATACATCAGAGATGAGTAACGAAACTGCCTGTTTGAATTTTGAAGTATAATTAGCTTTGCAGTGATGTAATTTTTAAAGACTTTTCAGCTGGTTCTTCTGCAATTGAATTTGTAAGACTTCTCATGAAAGTGGATGTGTAAAATATCCAAGATTTGGAAAGCTCTGACAGGGCAATAAGTAGTTTCTTCAAGTAATGTGGTGGTCCTTTCAAATTTTGAGGTACTGAATTGCTCTCCAGAAGAGAACAATCCCTGGGCAGCAGGGAAGCTGTCAAGAGCAAGTTTGCTTCCATTCTCTTACTGTCAGCACTCTCAGCATACCTAGAAAGAGCAAGTAGAGCAAATGATCTTGACGCTCTCTAGACAAGTTTTTAGGGTGTTTGTGGAACCAGTGGTGATATGCTCCTCCCCTTCAGCATAGGAAGACAGACATCTTTATTTTGCCTCTGGGAGATGCACCTGGGCAGTAGGGTGCTCTCATCATTTAGTTAGAGTTAATGAATTTTCCACATATTCCTCAAACTTTCTGCACCGGAAAGAATGCATGAGGCATGTGTGAGCCACTGACATGTTAAAGGGACTTGAGGAGAAAATAAGGCAAGAAGCAGAGCGCAGTGTTTGGGGCAGAAATGAGTAGAAGTGTGATGATAGAAGGTAACTGACACTGAGAACAATATAGGAAGCATAAATTATTATAGAACTAAGAAAAATGAACTGTTATTTTAAAATGTTCTCTTTAAGTTATAAGGAGTTGGGAATTTGTCAATTCTTGAGAGGGAAATACAGTATCATAGCTGGTTTTCACGCTACATAGTAGGCTGGTAGCACAGGGTGGCAAATGTTCAATGAAACAGTGTCCAACCCTGTATATGGAGCTTTTTACCTTTAGATTTTATGCCATGTTCTGAACATGTCACTCTGACCCACTGGGTGGTAAAGAGGGAAGGCAGGACACGAAGCTTAATGCGCATTAATGAAATTGTCTTAAGGAAGGAAAATTGTGTCATTGGTAGCCTAACTGTCTAGGACTTTGCCTTTAAAGCTTCAAGTGGGAACGCAGACCCCTGCATGGGAACCTTCAGCTGTCCACAGTTGCCTAAGGTTGTGGAAGACAGACTGAAAACACGTATTCTCCACCAGTGTGTCTCAGATGAGTTTATACAGGTAGATCCCTAGACAGCAGAACTTGGTAACAGCCGAGTAGTAACAACACACTCTTATGTGGTAGCATAGTTGAGAATTGAGACGTTATGCTTTAGACAGTATGGAGAACTGATTTGGAAAATCAAGCCTCCTGCCGATAAGATGCAAAACTTGATATTCTTAATAGAATTTGTAAGAATGCATTGGCTTGGGATTATGGTATGTTAATATATTCTTTAGCAAAGAATGTGTATGAAGAAGTCAGGAGAGTTTCACAAGTGTGTAATAACCTGTTACCTTACTTAAGGCTTAACAATTTCTCATCTACAGGGAACGTGCTTATTCTCTCCCCATTTTTTTTCCTATGGCCTACATGCCTTTTGGTTAAGTACATAGTCAGTATTTGCTTCCATGTGTAGTTCAAAACCTTTCTGATGTCTCCCTACATCAAGTAACTTTGTAAATAAATCTTTGAATAGCAGTAATTACAACCTTGTAAACAAAAGCATTTGGAGTGCAAGGAGTTCTCTTTTCAGCTGGTTAAAAGGGGCACTTTGTTACCCAGCTAGCATTCCAGATTGAAGTCCACAAAGGAGTTTTATCTTGTTTCAAGATGCTAAGTAGCATTAAAAATTAAAATACGCTATTTTCTTTGTCTGTTATATTAGGCAACTTCTAGAGGTTATTACTTGGTAGTGAATGGTATAAGAAGAGAACTTTTGCCAATAGTTGATTTTGAACATCCTGTAACTAAGTTTGTGTAAAGCAAATCCTCCTCTCCTCTGTTATTTAATTGTAAAATACTGCATTAAAAAGTGTTGTGTTTTCACATGTGTACCATCTGTTGCTACAGCCAAATTACTACACACATACTTTTGTATTCTTTCCAATTATGTACAAAATTTTACGCATCAAAGCAGTGATTAGGAAGATCATCTTCTTTTGTAGCATCCATTGCTAGGAGTGACTTTGTGATGTGCATAACTGTAGCTTTAAAGTGAAAGAAGGCATGTTGCATTCCTGATGCACTCCTAAGTGTCTATAAGGGGAGGCAATGTAGACTAGTAAGTGTATTTTAAAGTTTGCCTAGCATTTTATGTGCAATTTTCTCCATGAAAGCAATTGTCTACTAATTGAAAAAGGAGGAATGCACTCTATGTCTAAACAAATAAGCAGTAATTTGTGTTTTATTCTAATAGTGTGTAATCACTTTTCTTTGGCTCTTTAAGAAATGTGTTTGTTTCTGGCAAAACACCCTATTTCAAAGCTGCTCTGCCATTGAATGGCAATTGCTATCTCATATTGTAGAATTTGGTTAAATCTCTGAAACAAGGTTGCTGGTAACATTCAGAGAATGGTAGGCTTTTTTTTTTTGTCATCATTGGTAAAGGATTTGTGCAATTGATAGTAGCAAGAGTTACTACTGTTTTATAGTTAACTTTAACCTTAATGTATTTGTTGTTGCTTTGTATAGAAGAAGCTTTTCTGAAAGCATTGTGGCCTGTCAGAGAAGTTTCTTGTTCAGATGTGGGGAAGATCTAAAATGACAAATTTTTTTTGTTGTTGTTCTCTGGTATACATGAGTTCTGGTGCATTCTTGAGAAACTAGAAAACTGTGAGTCAGTATATATTTTTTTTTTTCTTTTTTATAACTAGCCCTAACCTGAGTAAGGTAATGAAGAATTTTAGGCATCATTTATTTGGCTCTACATACTCCATAACTCTATTTTGACTTGAATTAACAGTTTCAATTATACCTTTTTTTTAGTTCTAAGACAAGTTGACCCTTGTGTGGAGCTTGAGAAAAGGCTTTCCGTGCTCAGACTTCCCCATTGGTTGTTCGTGATGTCAGCTATTGGTGTTCTGGAAGGTGGCCACTGACCCACCAGCTGTGTCTTGCTGTCCCAAAATCTTTAATGCTGGCACTCTCAGGAACCAGACTCAGTCTTGCCTGTCGGCGTGGCTTGACTTGACACTGTATTTTTCATGTAGGTTTCTTTTGCTAGAGCAGGATGGTAGGTAGTAATGATCAGCACAAAGTGGAGTTCATCTACTGTCCTGAATCCAACCTTTGGTTTTTCATTGTATACACTCAGCCAGTTCTTAAAAAGTAGTACTATAGACATTGTTCATGTTGGTTTTAACTTTCTATATTGTGTCCTTTTAATAGTAGGATAAAGTGGTTAACACTAAGCTGTAGCTACTAGCATTGCCATAGTGTGTTTAGTACTTAGACACCTGAAATAGTCCTTACTATATGTCTATCTCCTTGCTTGGTTGTGCTGTTGCAGTGCTCACAGGTTCATCTCTGTTAGCTCTCTAATGAGCTGTACCTTGCTCATTAACCTATTATTAAGCTGCTTATTGGTGCAACTTTGATATCCCCCCTCCCCCCCCCCAATCATGTCAGGTATATAGGTACACTAAATATGCTGTGTTGTCTAGCCTGTTCTTAACAGTCAGCTGTAGCTTTGCTGTTTTGAACAGGTCCTGATCTTGCTTTGCGTAGGTTTTTGGGTTTTGGGCTCTTTCTAGACAATAAAAATACACTTTGCCATAATGAAGAAACAAAGCTCTTTGTATATATGTAAAGGGTGAGGAGGAAGTACTCCTGGTCTAGTCTCACTCCAGAATTTAATTGCCTGGTATTTCTTAATCAATGATGTAGAAAATCTGACAGCTGCTGGTTTTTTTCAAAATTCAAGGTCTTGCAAGTTCATCCATTTAGATTCTAAGCAGATTAGATATTGCCTAAGCAGTGAGTCAGTTCTGTATATTTTAAGAACACTTGGTTTCTCAGTTTGTTACATTAAAAAAAGCTAATAGTTTGTATTGATACTAGCCTGTTAGAGAAACTATACTTTGCTTTATTTTAATGCATGCTACCACAGAGTGGAATAACTT